TGCGGTGCCCCAACCCTCTGATCCGCCCTGCTCTGTGTGTGACAGGGTGCGGCGCCCCAAACGCCCCCCCCCCATGGGCCCTGCTCTGTGTGTGACGGGGTAGAGCCATAACCTCCCCATCGGCCCTGCCCTGAGTGTGACAGTGGCGGCGCCCCAACCCTCTGATGGCCCTGCTCTGTGGGCGATAGAGGGCAGTGCCCCAACCCCCCCTCCCCCACAGGCCCTGCTCTGTGTGTGATGGGGTAGAGCCATAACCTCCTCATCGGTCCGGCCCTGAGTGTTACAGGGTGCGGCGCCCCAACCCCCTGATCCGCCCTGCTCTGTGTATGACAGGGGGTGGTCTCCCAACCCTCCTATCGGCCCTACTCTGTGAGTGACGGGGGGAGCTCCTCAACCCCCTGATGGGCCCTGCTCTGTGAGTGACAGGGGGCGCCCCAACCCCCCCCTGATCGACCCTGCTCTGTGTGTGACAGGGTACGGAGTCACAGCTCCCCTGATGGGCCCTGCTCTCTGAGTGACAGGGGGCGCCGCCCCAACCCCCTGATCGACCCTGCTCTGTGTGTGACAGGGTACGGAGATTGGGCCTGCCCTCTGCCACCTGGGAGCAGGCCTAAGCCAGCAGGTCATTATCTCCCGAGGGGTCCCAGACTGTGAGAGGGCACAGGCCAGGCTGAGGCACTCCCCCTTCCCCCCGAGTGCACAAATTTTTGTGCACTGGGCCTCTAGTATTAAATATGGTAGTAAAGGGTTTAAAAATATTACCTAAGACTTTTCTGTTTGCATACTTCTCTTTTTTCATTTTATTATGATGTCAAAGAATGCTAAAAAAATTAAAGAAAAGGTTTAATACGAGGAAAAAATATATGTCTTTGTTTTACTATGGTTGCCAATATCAAAAAATTTCTATATGTGACACGGCACCAGAGTTAAGTTAGGGTTTTTCAAAATGCTGACACGCCGAGCTCAAAAGTTTCGCCATCACTGCTCTAGCCACTGAGCCAAACTAGTCAGGGCTGTTTTTCTTTTTTTTAAATTGATGTTTAGAGAGAGTGGAAGGGAGAGGGATAGAGAGATAGAAGCATGGATGAGAGAGAAACATCATTGCTTGGCTACCTCCTGCACGCCCACACTGGGGATGGAGCCCACAACTTGGGCATATGTCTGATCAGGAATCAAACCCATGACCTCTTACTTCCTGGGTCAATGCTCAACCACTGAGCCACACTGGCCAGGCAGTTTCTTTCTTTCTTTCTTTAAAAAATATATATTTCATTAATTTTTTTACAGAGAGGAAGGGAAAGGGATAAAAGAGTTAGAAATATCAATGAGAGAGAAACATCGATCAGCTGCCTCCTGTACACTCCCCATTTGGTATGTGCCCGCAACCAAGGTACATGCCCCTGACCGGAATCGAACCCGGGATCCTTCAGTCCCCAGGCCGATACTCTATCCACTGAGCCAAACCGGTTAGGGCAGTTTCTTTTATTTTTTTTTATAAACTAAACAATTTCCAATTGTTATGACTACTGTGTAGAGATACAATTTATTTTAGCAGAGTGATTTTGTCTCTCACAACCTTACTAAACTCACTTATCAGGTCTTGCCCTTTATTTTGAAGATTCCATTGAATTTTCCCCAGATATCGTGTCATTGTAAATAATGAGAATTTTATTTCTTGCTTGCTTTTCTCACCTTGTTGCACTGGCCAGAATCTTTATGACAATGTTGACTAGAAGTGGTGAGAGTGGACTTGATCAGTAGCTGAAATCATCTGAGCCACTTGGTTTCAGAAAATTATTCATCTTATAACTGAAAGTTTGTATGCTTTGACTAACTTCTCTCCATTTAGCCCACTCCCAGCACCTGCAACTACCATTCTACCCTCTACTCACACAAGGATTTTTTCCATTGATTTTTAGAGAAAGTGGAAGGGAGGAGGTGGAAGAGAGAGAGAAACATCGATGAGTTGCCTTCCGCATGTGGCCAGGCTGGAGATGGAATCTGTAACCCAGGTACATGCCCTTGACTGGGAATCGAACCCAAGACCCTTCAGTCCGAGGCTGACACTGTATCCACTGAGTCACACGGGCCAAGGATAGAGTTAGCTTTTTTGCATTCTATAGGTAAGTGAGATCATACAGCATTTGTCTTCTATGTGGCTTATATCAGTTAGCATGATGTCCTTCAGGTTTATCTATGTTGTCACAAATGGCAAGAGTTTCTTACTATTATTTTTTTTAAATATATTTTTCTTGATTTTAGAGTGGGAGGTAAAGGGGGAGAGAGATAGAAACATCAACAATGAGAGAGAACCATTGATTGACTTCCTTCTTCATGCTCCCCACTGGGGATCAAACCTGAAACCAAGGCATGTGCCCTGACTGGGAATCAAACTGTGACCACTAAATGGGCCATGGCATCCTACATACATAGATCAACACTCATTTTCTTTTTAAAAATATTTTTATTGACTTTTTACAGAGAGGAAGGGAGAGGAGTAGAGAATTAGAAACATCGATCAGCTGCCTTCTGCACACCCCCTACTGAGGATCAAGCCTGCAACCAAGGTACATAGCTTCTACCGGGTATCGAACCCGGGACTTTTCAGTCCACTGCCCGATGCTCTATCCACTGAACCAAACTGGTCAGGGCAAGATTTTCTTATTTTTAAAGGCAGAA